TTTCCCCTCTAAACTTGGTGTAATATCTACTTATCAAGTTGAAAATTCATTTTGGAACTATTTTCAGAGCAAGTACAAAGACTTCCACTAGGATGCATTAGCTACATTACTTTTATCCAATGAAATAAATAAATCTCTCACCCTACAATAAACTTCGCACGTAGGAGGACAAGCAGCCTCTTAAATGGACCCATTTGGATGAAACACAGCATGGGAATACACAATCATCCAGGGGATATGGGCAGCCTATCTTATACCCTACCTATAATGACTAGTTAAATTGTGCCAGGATTTATCTTATTTCAGTTTTCGCTGAAACAAATTTACTTTTATTTCTTTTTAAAATTTCCCTTATTTTTTGAGATTATAATGTAATTACATCATTTTTCCCTTCCTATTCCTTCCTTCAAAACCTCTCTTATACCCCTCCTTGCTCCTTTTCAAATTCAAAGCTTCTTTTTCCATTTGTTATTGTTACACACACACACACTCCTACAAATATAAGTGCAACCTGTTTAGTCTCTATAACGCTACTTGTATGTGTGTTTGCAGGAAAGCAACCAGGAGTTCTACCCAGGTATGAAACCTATGATGTCTATGGACCACAATGACAACCAACACAATAAACCTAAGGGTATAGTGGCTTGCATACCTTGGTGTTAACCAACAGCTCTCTAAATGAACTGAAAGCTCACTCAAACAAGAAGTAGATTATGTCTGATACCAGAAACTCAGTCAGCTACCCAGAGCTAGCGAACTAATGGATCTGGGAGGAGAAACTACCACCACCACTCTTCTAAACCAGCATAACTCCTAATTACATTCTAAACATTTGTCCTGATACCCACAAATAAGTGCAGTCTTCACCCCTCATCAAGGAAAATTCTCTTTGCAACAGACCATTATAGAATACATAAACAATCAAAATGCATACTTGTGGAGCCCAGTCCCAGAGGGTATGTTTACTATACAGCTCTGGCACCTGAAGGCTTAAGGAACATTGCAGAGCAGGGGCTGGGAAGATTATAGGAAGCAGAGGAACAGGGAGTTTGCTGTGAGATTGTGTCTCCTAGAAACGTCAGAAGCTACACCCATGAAGTCTCACCAACATAATTGCCTAGACATGAGCTGAACAAAGACAACAACAATAGGCCTCCTAATAAGGACAGGGGAAAGCCCAAGAGGTTTCAATCCTATACAAAGTGGCAACATAGAAATGCTAAGAGCTGAGAAAAATAGTCTTCCCTAGAGAAGAACACATTATTTATCTAATATGTACATGTTTCTTTGCTTTACTTTTATGTATATAGGCATTCTACCTGCATGTATGTATGTGTACCACTTGCCTGCCTAGTACCTGAAGTGACCAGAAGAGGGCATTGGATCCTCTTGGAACTGAAGTTACAGAGGATTGTAAGCCACCACGTGAAGCCTGAGAATTGAACAAATTCTGTGGAAACCCAGCCACTGCTTATAACCACCTCTCTCCAAGCCCCTCCCCAAGATTTGTTTCAGTTATGTGTTTCAGGAATGTTTATTCTCTTCCAAAGCCTAGATCGTGATGAGTTCCAGGCCTGGAAAGACAATCAGTCATCTATACTTGGATAACTCCAAGACCTCCAAGTCAACCACGGCCAAGTCAGAACTCATCTTTACCTTCCTGCTCATGGATTATTCATCCCAGTTACCAAGGTGATTAGTCACCCACTTAACCCCTGTTGGAAATCATAGCATTACCATCAACTCCTATCTGTCCCTCTATGCCTCTCTGCCTCTTCCAAATCTTGACATCTTAGAGTCAGCTCTATACTAACACCCTCATATCCATCTCTTCCATGCAGCCCATGGCCCCTGTTTTAATGTGTTCCTTCTTACTTACCTCATGACCTCCTGCCATGCTCCTGCTCCCTCTGATCAATCCTTCCAAGTCATGCCACATGACACTTCATGATAAATCTTCATCATATAGCTTCTCTCATGATCACCCCCATCACTCCTCATATCTACTGAAGCCCAATATCCAAAGCCAAGTTCAGAGCATGTCCCACCATCCTACAAACTTAGCCTCACCTCTGCCCCATTAAATGAGCCAGTTCCCCCAGAATAACAGCCTGATTCCCATCTCATAACTTCTTACACCATTCTTTCCTTCTCTCTCTCCTCTCTCTCTCTGTTTCTGTCTCTCTGTCTCTGTCTCTCTCTCTCTCTCTCTCACACACACACACACACACACTTCTTCACCATTTCTTTTTATAGTTCTAGAATCAAACCCAGGGCCTTATGCAGCAACCTACCACTGGATACCATAGCCAGCTGTTGTCTCCTAGCTTCTGTTTGAGTTGCTCCTGATTGGAATGTCTATCTGCCTTTCTGTCCTGGAAAGCTATACTTACGTGACTGCCCCTCCTCCATGCAGCCTGTCCTCAAGCCCATCCCTGGTCTCCTGGACATGCTGTTATCAAATCATCTCTATCTTTATCCTGTTGGTGAGTAGCAAAATCTAGATCTCAGATGTCAAGGACTCATGTCCAGTAGTGCTGCTTCCTGGCATGGGCTGGCTAGTTTTATGTCAACTTGACACAAGCTAGGGTTATCCAAAAGAAAGGAATCTCAATTGCAAAAATGCTTCCCCAGTATCTGGCCAGAGGGCATTTTCTTTATGAGTGATTGATGTGGGTGGGCTCAATCTATTGTGGGTAGTGCCACCTCCTGGGCTAGTGGTCCTGAGTTCTATTAAAACAAAACAAAACAAAAAAGCTGGATGAGCAAGCCATGAGGAGCAAGCCAATAAGCAGCACCCTCCATGGCCTCTGCATCAATTGCTCCTGCCTCCAGGTTCCTGCCCTGTTTGAGTTTCTGTCCTGATTTCCTTCAGTGATAGTCTACAATTTGGAATTGTAAGCCAAATAAACCCTTTCTTCTTCAACTTGTTTTTGGTCCAATGTTTCATCATAGCAATAGAAACCCTAACCAAGATAGGGCACATGCTGGGAACTTGATATTTCTTCAATAAATGAACATCATCATAGCAGTCTCCTAAATATGGTGCCAAACTATTTCCTTTAGAGTCAATATACTTTTCTTTTAGCTGTTTATGATGTGCAGTTCCTTTTAGCCTACTTGTAAATCATTTGCAAAAGATTAACAAAATAAACTAGCATAGGAGATAAACCACCTCTTATCTCCTGAGAAATCATTCCTTTGTTCTTTACTCCCTAGAGAAGAGCCCATGCCTCTAGGCACCCCAACAACTGATAGTGAGAAGCTATCAAAACAAATCATTCCAAATCTAGATCCTCCCAGGTTTCAAATACCCTGTCTGAAGATGTAATTACTAGTGAGGCACTGGGTGGAGATCCTGATTAAACCAAAATATTTAAGGCATGAACCAAGACAAGTTTATAAAGCTGCCCATATGGATGGAAAATAACTCCAACACTACATACAGACTTCCCACAGGCTCTTTTTTTTTCTAAGCCCAGACAACCTCTGGGCCCAAAGTGGAACCTTTAGAAGGATTTTCCATCTGAAATGTCAACTGTCTGTAACACGTCTACAATTTCATGTCACTAGTGGCTGACTTCTTCCCCAAACACTGATTTCATATGGGAAAATAGGACATTTCAATAAATGTTTCATTAACATAGTGTTTTCCTGTCTGATGCAAATATTTTGCTTCCCCAGACTTTTCTTCCGAACCATTCCTTGCAGTTCTCAAGACAGCCTACAACTCTAATTCCAACAGACAACCCAGAGAACATAGAAATAAACCCAACAAATGAGGGAAAATAGATCCACACTAAAAGCCATGGAGACCCATTTGTTCTGGAACACTGATATCAAGTCTGTGTTCTTCTCTGAGTTGCCCAAAGGTCAGGACAGGACAGACTGTCCTGACCACCTCAGCAGTGCTGGGTTAGATGGATGGTGGCAAACGCTGCCCAGTAGGCCGCTGCAGGCCCCAGAAGAACGAAGTGAAAGAGAGATTATGCAGGAAGGGTGTACGGTGGGTGGTGGTTTCTTTGAGGTCCCTAGATAAGGCTTGTTTCCATTCCACTTGTTTATTTGTACTGGATTTCTTGCTATGTACTGATTCTAAACCCCAAAAATTTCAAGGATATTCTGAACATCTTTTATTAATAGCAACTCAAGAATTTCCAGATAGATGCCAAACGTTCAAAAGCAGGTGCCATATAAGGTTTGCTCTCTCAAAGTTCATGAGATATGGTGAGAAGATTTAATCCTAACAGTATAAGGCGTGTGGTCAGGACCAACCTTAGAAGACCACCATGGATGGGGGGGGCGTCACCAATGTATGTGGCAGGGGAGGGCTCAGATCACATCAGAATGGCTTGAGTGCCGCACTGTACTGAAAGGGATGAGATTTGGGGTTGGTTCTATTAAACATGGGAAGGGAAACAAAATTCAATGAAGAAGTGAAACTCTATGGAAACTCAGGGTGCCTAGAGCCATGTGGGTGGCAGAGAAAGGGGTCAGGAATCACAAAATATAGAAGCAACACAAGAAGGATGGATATTCTAAGCTCTACCACATCTAAACTATACATATCAGGGTTTAGACACAGGCTTTATCTTGTCACCGTGATGTCCTTATGAAAAGTAGAGCAAAACCAATGGCAATGACAACAAATTCTCAGCACACTATGCTATGGAAACAGTCTGAGTTAGACTGGGCCTCTGGAAACAACCAGTGCTGTGGTGATCAGCAGGGTCTCAGTTCAAAATCAAGTCAGCCTCCAACTGCCCTTTGGAAAGGTCTCCCTCCAGTGACTGCTACATTGTAAGACACTAGAGATATAGGGAGGCATTTTCAGAGCACGACAAGAGTACCAGTCATCAACTGCAGGGCCCATCTCCTTCTGCAGGCTAGGAGCTGGGGGCTTCTCTGACCCCTGTGAAGCCAGCCTCATGCCAGGCCTCATCCTTGTTCCAGAGGATGATCAGCAAGATGGGGAGAGGAGCCTTCCCTCCAGCACTTACTTTCTAAGAACCGCGATCTCATTCTCGATGCTGCTTTCTTTGCCCTTCAGTGCCTTCTTGGGGATGCACTTCACTGCAAAGAGTTTCCCAGTTGCTTTTTCTTCAGCTAAAACCACTTCAGAAAAGGCCCCACTGTGAACAGAGAGGGAGAAGAAAAAGGTTATGGTGAGAGGTTTTGGTCTCAGAAAGGCCCCTCTAATCCCAGCACAATAACAAGGAGCATGACCACAAGTATTAGTGTCATTTTGTGTTCAGCAGGGAGGGCTCCTTCCCAAATGTCCTTAGAAGAAGAAAACATGTGGACAACCGTACCTCCGTGCAAAGACACGGTGAATGTCAACACAGGCCCATAGCGGCAGTGGAGGCTGCTATGTTTTGGCCACTTTGAAGTGCCTCCTGTCACCCTACTACATATCATGGTCAGGTTACGGTCCTTTTGTAGGCAGCAAGAACATTCCCTGGACAGATTCGATTCTCATGGATAGGTAAGGATGTAATTACAGTGTAAGCTGATGCTGCATGAGGTACTGGCACTTGGGTTAACTAATTGGTAGAGATAGGCAATTTTTTATTCTGCAGCTTATTTCCTTTTCAAACCAACCAAACAAGGACCACACAGTGAGGGTGATTAGCCTCTCTACAAATATAAATTCAACTCTTTGACAACAGAGAAGCACACTGTCTCTCCCCAGTGATGGCATGCTCAGGCTGGGACAGAACTCTCCTAGCCTAGAAACAGACCCCACATTCTTTAGCCACCAGCAAAGATATTCTTACATAGACAGGACCAGATGGGACAGGAATTCATATCTGCTTGGTATAGTGAACTATGAGTCTTTGGGATAATGTTCCTACTAGACCATGAACTACTAAGCAAGAAGTCTGTCCATTTCATCTAATTATACAGACCCTAAGGGCAGGAGATAGTCATTCAATGAAACAGTCAAATGTGAAATTCCAGCAACAACCTTCTGCCCAAATCTATAAAGAATCCATAAGTAGAGTTATTTACTCTGAAGACTATATCCTGAAGCTTTCTGAATCACTTAAAACAATCACCATCAAATATAAATACATACAGCCTGACAACAGAGTTTTCACAGAATAATCTTTGGAAGCAGACAGTCCCTGTGACACCTGGTCACTATCAAGGGGTTTGGCCCAAGAAAACCAGTTCAGAACAAGCTCAGAGCTCATGACATGTACTTCTCGTCACTTCTAGTCCAAGGGTAGATTTAGCAAATGTGAGTGAGGGAGACCTGAATACTCAGACACCAGATCCCTCCTCCGTCACATAAGCATTGTGTTTGAGAATAAGAAATCTCACTGGGGAAAGACCAGGCCTTCCACACCAGGGGTAACTTTATACCAGAATCTACTCATTCATGTTTTACTTCCATTCAACTCCCTGCAATGATCATTATACTAGGACATTGTCAAGTGTTGTTTAAAGTTGTTCACAGTGAACTCTGAGTGTGAGGACTTTCTTGTCCCAGAGTCTAGCATGCTTGTTTTCAAGTGTCCTCCAGACCCCCCTTCCTGGGGCAGGCTGTCCCACTAACTGTGACAAAGTGGAAAGATAATAACAAGAGAGCCCAAGAGTAGAAGAACGGTGCCTTTGAAACAGCTAGAAGGTGAACTCCTTCCAAGGAGGTTGCTACTGTTTCTCCTATGGTGAGAAAATGGAAACTCATCTGTAGGAAGAAAGCTCAGTTCTGCCTGGAACTCTCAGTCTGGGAACTTAGTCATGATGGTTACAGCAGGGCTTCCCCATTCACTTCTGCTGAATAGCTGCAAGCACCAAACTGGATGATGTCATCTTTCTGTACTACTTGCTCCTTTGTCTGAACACCTCACCTGAGGGGAGACCCTACCAGGAATTCCAGTTAACAAGGCTTCTGCTGGGTGTTGTCAGCCTGTGATTTAAGGTTGCCTTTCCTTTAGTCTCTCAATTGGGTTTCTCCAGTCATCTCTGCTGGAGTTTATTGAGCGCCGGGTATGAAGAGGCCTTGCTATCTATCCACTGCTCCCATCTATCTGCTACTCACTGCTCATCCCTTCACTTTCATCTGCTGGATACACGATAGACGATAGACTCATTAGAAACCAAAAGCATGGCTATCACGGATCATTCTGTAGACTGTATAAAGCAGTCCCTAGTGCTGCTAACCCAGTGCTTTTGCGGGTTCCCCACTCCCAGGATCTTTGCCAAGTCCACTCTCCAGAACACAGAGAACCCCTTCAGTGCTGCAAGCACCTGCTAGGTGTGGGTCAGTAGCTACTCTCAGGCCTCTCCTCTTTCACTGTCCCCTACCCTGCTATGCACATACCCCAGCTCTTTTATTTCCACCAGGGAATCTATACAGATGAGAAGAGGCCATGGCAATGCAAAGGAGAGTCTGCTTTAAACGAGGGGACCCTCACCTGCAGGTATGAAGCTCCCACAAGGGAAACCACTTTTTACCTCTATGTGTCATTTTCTTCCTGGAAAATGGTGGGAAAGAGAGGTTATGGCTCGAGTTGAAAGGTTAGAGAGGACTGAGAGGTGTTGGGAACCAGCAGTCTGCTGACCCCACCGCCCGATGATGGGCAGGATGCTCATGGCCATGTCTTAGCTGGCTGTTCAAGCTTTACCTGGCTGCCAGGGGTCTCAGTTACACATATGCAAGTTTCCCTTTTAAAGCAAGCCCGCCAAGCGTGCCTCTCTTTTGCTCCTTCTTTCTCTCTCTTGCTCTCTCTCTCTCTCCCCTCTCTCTCTCTCTCTCTCTCTCTCTCTCTCTCTCTCTCTCTCCCCTGCTTTCGGTTGACCACCAGCTACCCCCCCTTTCTCTCCCCTCTATCAATAAACTCCACATGGGGGGCGCTGAGTCTCGTGTTTGTGTTTCTTAGGCAATAATTGTATCACAAAATAATTGTGCTGAAAACCGTGGAACTCAGTCAGGCTCTCCTTGAGTCTTGTGTTTGTGTTTCATAGGCAATAATTATAGCAAAAGAACACCAAGAGGGGCAGGGCCGTCCAGCAGCGGCATGTCCTCTGCCTTTGTTCCTAGCCGTGGGTGGCATGATCTAGCTAAGGTCCTGTGTGTGGGCAGAACCACGGGTCACACATACGCAGAATGTTTCACAAAGTAAGCAGCTCAGGCTTGACAACATGAGCCACACATGAGGTAACTAGAGATGGACACAGGACAGGTCCAGGATACATGAGAAAGCCCCAGCAATTGTTGCAGAAGTCAAATCACAAAGCCAGGAGCATAGTCCCACCCTCTCAGAATGAAATTCAGCCTGCATTTTATACTCCCAAAGAACTCAAAGAAGGAGCTGGGGAAATGCTTCAGTCACTAAGGTGCCTGCTGTGTGAGCAGAAGGACATGAGTTCAGATCTCCAGCACTCATTTAAACGCTAGACATGGTCACACACAGCTGTAACCCTGTGCAAGGAGCAGGGAGACAGGTGGATGGATCCCTGGAGCTGTTAGCCAGGCAGTCTAGCCAATCGGTGAGCTCTGAGTTCAGTGAGAGACCCTGTCTCAAACAATAAGGTAGAGAGCAGACCAAGAAGACTCCTGACATGAATGTCTAGCTTCCACAGGCAAGTGCACATACTCACACAAGCACACATAGACATATACACTATACATGCCCACACATACAATAGGTATAGTATACACATGTGCGTGTGCAAGCACACACACAGACACACAGAGAGAAAAAGGGAGAGAGAGATTTGAAGAGAGATGATTTTTTTTACCATAATCATAGCAGCATTACACACAACAGCCATGAGAGCTAAAAATGAAATCAAGTGATGGACAAACAGAGAAACAAGATGGAACATACATACAATGTGCTTGTAATCCTAGTGCTGGGGAGGCAGACGGGTGATGCCATACATAAAATGGAACATTATTTATCCCTTAAAACGCTGTGGCACATGGTGCAATACAGATGAACCTTGAAGACATATGCTAGATGAAAGACACCAGTCATGGAAAGGTTACACTATGTGTTTCCACTCCTGTGAGGTCCCAGGAGTAGTTGGGTTCATGGAGATGGAAAGTAGACCAGGACAGAGGAAGGAAGAAGAGGAAGTGACTGTTTAATTGGGACAGAGTCTGGAAAATGAAAAGGACCCAGAAGCAGATGGTGGTTGTTACACAACAATGTATTATAGTTCAGGCCATAGAACCCCACACCCAAAGTGGTTAAAATGATAAGGTTTATGGTATGCCTATTCTAGCACAATAAAAAATAACAAGAGAACACTTTTATGTGTCTACTCAATGGCACAGCTTCACATAGAGATGGTGGGAAAAGGTGACAAACTCTTCACTTATCTCCCAAAATAAGAGAGGAATTACAGGGAAATTGCTGGCTGCCAGGTGGCATGGAATTCTCTGGTATGTATCAACTAATCTAGTCCTTGGGCAACTCTGGAAGATACGGTACTCAAGAAGTCACTGTCAACATCTTTTAGAACCAGGACATCAAGCACTGAGCCCAGTGTGAGACAGAATGGGAAATCAGACATGTTCCTTAATTCTATAAGCTCTTCCTTTTATCTTGTGTACATGTGCATGAATGTGCTTGAGTGTGTGAGTGTCTGTGTGTCTGAGTGTGCGTGTGTGTATGCATGAATGTGTGTATGTGTCTTGAGTGTTTGAGTGTGTTAGTATCTGTGTGCAGGTGTTCACATGCTTGCAGTTGTACACGCGTGTGCGCGCGCGCGTGCGTGCGTGTGTGTGTGTGTGTGTGTGTGTGCACGCCCCCACTGAAGGACAACTTCCATTATCATTCCTCGGGTGCCATCCACCTGATTTTTGGAAACAGGGTCTCTCACTGGCCTGGAAATGAGCTATACTGGTTAACCAGTGAGCCCAGGGGACCACCTGTCTCTGCCTCCCAGCTGATTACAAGCACATGCCACAACACATCTCTCTGGTTTTCCACATGTACTCAGGTCCACAAAGCACTTTCCTAAATGAGTGATCTCTTCAGCCTCCTCTGAGGTCATCTTCAGTACACTGCGCAGAGGTGGTACTTACTGCTACCAGGGAGCCTACCACCCCATCACTGAAGGTGACAGCAGAAAGTGTTGCTAGGGGAACTGCCCTTACTCCCAAGCTCGAGCA